CCTGGATTTCTGAGTACTCTAGAACAAATCTAGATACATAAGTATGGTAGTATTGCTGTTCACTCTATTCATAAACACAACTTAATTACATCCCTTATATTTTCCAAAGAAGTCATAACCTGACTTCTCAGCACTTCAACCCCCAAAACATAAATATGACTTCTAAAGGAGATCTGTTAACATTCAGGTCCCACAGCAAATATTGTTACTAAAAATGCTGAGCATCCAACTGCTCCCATTCTGTCTTCCCCCACCCCCACCCCAGGTTTTCAAGAGAGCTTAGAAACCTATCAGACTTGATATTTAAAGCATCATATGAGTTATTGATTGAAACAGCTGTGATAGTGAATCAAAATGAAGTATGCCCAAACTTAAAGGGCTGGAATCCACCAATGTGTTGTAAGAGCTCTGACATTTTAGAAGCTGCTTAACTTTCATTTATCTGTGTCTGCATCACCTTTTTTAAGTCTGGAAAAAATATCCAATATTATGCTTCTTCTATTCATTTCTTATTGACTCAATATGTTGTGACTTTCAGCCATTAATTAATATAAATCAGTAGCAGAGTATTAATTTTATGTGATGCTCAGATTATTTAAACCTGATGTTAAATATATATATTTGTAAGCCATTTTGATCCCCTACTTTCCCAACATGACGGATGATATCAAGCCCTGGCAACTTGCTCTAAGTCTGTTGCATCTTGGCTCCGCAGAACAGAAGGAATAAATGAAGTGAGAAGAATGCTGGAAAAGTCTAATAGACAAACTGACTAATCTCAGACCCCAAGGTCACAGCAAAGCAATTCATTCTCTGTATTCCAACAGGCGCTAGACATGATTTATCAATCGGAGAGTAGGCTTACAAACACTATACATCTCAATAATACATTCTTTGCACTGTGTAATTTCTAAAACAAAGATAGATTGCTTATATGGCCTCAAACTTATTTAGCAAACAAAAACAGAACATTTGCAAACGTTTAAAAAGGCCTGTTTCATGTTTAAACAAAGAATTGCTACATATACATTTAATGCAAATACTAGCAATACTTTACAACATCAAAGGCATTTCAAAGAATGCCTCCAGAAGTGTCAGCTGCTCTAGGTCTCAAAGAACATTTGCCTTTGGGTCTTATCATTTCTTTATTTACACTTTCATCCTTTTATATACTAGATATTTGGAAAGCTTTACTTTAAAGTTCCATAGCTGAAAAAAATGTTTTAGAAATGTGAACAAATTTAATGTGAAGCACTGAAGTTTCAAGTGCTTTATTATTATTGGATAGTTTCATCAGGTCCTTCTTCATGTCCATATATTATCATTATTACACCTTCATTCACTTTACTATCTTATATTTATTTTGATAAATGAACTATGCATCTCACATAAGAAAACAAGAATTAACAAATGCCAATATAGCAAATACCAAAGTGGAGTATTTGGCAAAGATCTAAATCTAAATTTACTCAAAACTGCCTGGGTGGATTTGGAATGCACTGTGGCCAATATTTTTCATTCTACTACAGCAAAATGTTTTATATAAAATAATGGCTATGTGTTGTACATATTACTCCCAGTTCATTCCATGCTTAGCATAATAGTACTCAATGGCTTGTAACTGAAGTATATTCAAGGTGGGGGACACAGCAAATCTTCCTTGTCAGATAACAAATGGCAGCTTGAGGTTTCCTAATGCAAAAGCCACTGTACTCTGATATACAGTCTTGGATATGGACTTGGAAGTCCTGCATTAAATTATGCCCATAACACATTGCAGCTAGCCATCCATCAACCTTATTTGTTGTAAAACAGGATAACATGCTAATTTTCTCATAGGTTTGGTTCAAATCAAATGGGGGGGGATATGGTGGCTACGGAGCTATAGAAATCATGTTTACATATCCTTGTGGCATTGGGAATTAATACATCTAGGTATAGATATCCATGTTCATCCCATAATTCTTTTCAGGTACACTCTCATTCCTCACATTGCAGAAGGTTAATTATCACAGTTTGAGCATGATTTGATTATAGCAATACCAGCTGCCAGTTATTCTATGTGGTGAAGTGCACCTGGAAACTTACAACTGTGACTGATGCTGAAGTAAACATTTACTTTGGCAAATCACAAGACAGAAGGAATCATTATACACTTTCTTATTCCAGGCAGTTATTTGCATCTACAGCTCTTTACAAAGTATAACAAATTATGCATCTGGAAGAATTACAAACCTGATCCTATTCACAGCAATAGTAACAACAGCCACCATTGTCCATTTAAATTCAACTGTAAAAAGACCTTCTGCAGCAGACATGTACAATGGGAATTTCTGCAGAAAAGTTAAATAGAGTACCTATCGCAAAGCAAACAAAGTACGCCCAACAGTGTACCTACTAATCCCTAGGTGCGAGAGAGTCAAACCCTGCCTGCTCAGATTATCAAGCTTTATATCTTCAGCCCTTCATTAGAGGCTTCATGCAATAGTGAATTATGTTCACTAAAAATACTGTCTCTGATTTCAATAGATGATGGAGCAAAAGTGTTGTCATCCAGTGCCCTTTTAATGACATGGATCAGGGAAGTGCCTTGGTCACTTGAAAAATGTCAGACTAGTTGGACATTGAGAGACTGCTAGAATCTCTTGACCATTAGTGCACATAAAAACTGAATTTTAAAAAATCCCACTGTTTGATTTAATTAGTTCTGCTTCAGGGCTGTCTCTCTAAAGAAGCAAACCTTTCTGATTTACTGCCAGCATAGAGGTTTCTGTTTGCATAGCAACATAAGAACATAAGAGAAGCCAATGATGGATCAGGCCAATGGCCCATACAGTCCAACACTCTGTCACACGGTGGCCAAAAACCAGTCCATCAGTAGCAATTTGGTAGTCTGACTATATCCTGATAGCTATTAAATAATCTTAAGGAATTTTCCTTTTGCACATCTACCTTAATATGTAAATCGCACCCTGAGATATAGAATCCACACAAAAGTATTCTATATGCACAGCTTCAGTTCATCCTCAGGGCAAATGAGTTAAGGCTAAACAAGTTACCTAAAATTATCTAGTAGGAAAAACTAGCTACAGATTATGACAAAATGTCTGAAAAATAAAATGGGAGCATAAAATAACCCTGAAATACAGTGCTGGAAGGCTAGCCCTAAACTAGATTTCTGGGCACACAGAAGAACATTGGATCTGGCTAATACACAAGGTAGGGAGAGAAAGTGTTGGATCCATGGACTCCCTTCAAATAAGTGAAGAACCTTCTTCTCACAGAAGGAAGAAGAGCCATTTCTTTATGGAGAAAAACTTCCTAGTGAGGAAGGACAATTCTATTTACTCCAACTATAAACGAAAATGGAAGATGCCTATCCAGTGGCAGTTTGTATTCAATAAGATAAGTGTTTCAAAGCTGTTGCTCCAGATAGCTTTTAACGTGGGTAGGAACCAAAGGATTATGGAGTGGCATGTTCAGAGACTTACTCACCCAGAAATGAAAAAGATACTGAGCTTAGCTGATAGATTACAAGCATGCATAGTCTCAATAGAATGCACCCACTTAGAAATGTGATAAAAGCACTCTATCCATAGTGACCAGGGGAAATAATCATACAGTTATATTTAGTTCCCATCTAGTAAAGAATTAGCTACATTTCCATTCTGCGTAAGGAAGAGTTATATATACTTGAAAGTCTGTAGATTCCTACTCTTAAAGTTAATATTTATTTTATATTTCTCACCCCAACATAGTAGCAGCAGTGTATAACGAGGATATGAAAGTCCGAGTATTAAAATTGTTACCAAAATAACTTAAACAAAAGCCACACAATTCTAGACAAGTTCATTCATTCATTTGGATTGAAACAACCAGATAAGGGTTAGATTTGTTACTTAAACACAGCAGACATATAATAAGGGTACACAGAAATCACTTTCCTATAGGTATGATACAGGGCTATTTTTGAGCAGGAACGCACAGGAACAGAGTTCCGGCTGGCTTCAGAGTTGGCCACGCCCACTACAGCCAAAACCTCTGTGTGCGTGGCTACAGAGGGAAGGCCTGGAGAGCGACACCCACCCCCTGAGACTCCGAGGTAGGCGGGCCAATGGGGGCCCTGGAAGGATCAGGGAGGAATTTAAATGCCTCCCCGTGCCTTCCCCAGCCTGTCCAAGGGCCAGCTTGTCCAGGCAAGCCAAGGGAAGGGGGCATGGCCTGATATGCCAATAGGTTTTTCTGTTGGGTTTGGCCTATTATGCTAATGAGTTCCTGCTGGGCTTTTTCTACAAAAAAAGCCCTGGGTGTGAATAATGTGATTTGACCATATTAAGGCTCAGTTTAATTTTGAAAAGGCTGTGTGGAAAACTCTAATCCAAATTATCATTCCATATAGCTGTCAACTCATTTAAAGGAACACTGCATATACTGGGCCATTTTGTGCACAGAGTTAGCCTGCCAGCAACAGATCTTTCCAGGCCACACAGGCAATTGACATGCTAACACTGCATGTGAATGGCCTGCAGGCATATGGTAAAGTGCCTTTTAAATAAGGCAGCAGCTACACAGAACCCTTACCTCAGTATGTTTACATTTGGCTTTGCCATGTGAAAATCAGACCGTAAAGTGGTCAAAAATCACACTTCAAGTGTGCTGACCTAAGCATGCAATATATATTTAGCAGTTTAAATTAATAATAATAAATTAAACATTAAAAATCTGCTACAAATGCATTCAGAGTCCAGTCCTCCCTGAGGGATGTGTTAGTGTCTTCCACTGAATGATCCCACTAAAAATTACTCATATGCTAAAAAGGAGAATGAGCATTCTGGAGAGTCCGTTTCTTTGCTCTTTTCTAGAGGTTTTCTCAGGTCAAGCCAACTAAAAATTACCAAATCCACTTTCAAACAAATATCAGATATTTGCATATACAATTTTTTTTAGCAGCAGAAAACTTAAGATCATTTTGAGAAGACAGAAAGGGAGATAATACATGCCTTTCAGGGTTCTCTACCTCTTCAGTAACAAAATTGAGGTAAAACCTATAAAACGAAAGTTTTAATAAAGTTAATGTTAATATTTATGTAGGGTTTCTTAGCATCCAATAAACTGTTCAATTCTGACTTTATTTTCACAATAATGACGTGTTAGAGCAGAAACAATAGCCTATTGTAGCAGCCAAAAACCTTGTAAATAACACTAATCATAGGAAAGATAATATACAATTAAAGAGCAAATGTTACCTGATTTGTTACTTTTTATATCGAAATGGTTACTGGCTAATTAATAGAAAACAGAGAGTGAGTATAAATGGGCAGTTCTCTCAGTGGAGGGGGGTAAGCAGTGGGGTACCGCAGGGATCAGTACTTGGTCCACTGCTTTTTAACTTGTTCACTAATGATTTGGAGTTGGGAGTAAGCAGTGAAGTGGCTAAATTTGCGGATGATATGAAGTTGTTCAGGGTGATGAAAACCAGTGAGGATTGTGAGGCACTCCAAAGGGATCTGTCAAGGGTGGGCGAGTGGGCGTCAACATGGCAAATGGGGTTCAATGTGGCCAAGTGCAAGGTGATGCACAAAAATCCTAAATATAAATACACATTGATGGGGTCTGAACTGGCAGAGACTGATCAAGAGAGAGATCTTGGAGTCGTAGTAGATAACTCACTGAAAATGTCGAGACAGTGTGTGACTGTAATAAAGAAGGCCAATGCTGTGCTGGGGATTATTAGGAAGGGTATTGAAAACAGATCAGCCAATATCATAATGCCCCTATATAAATCAATGGTGAGACCTCATTTGGAATACTGTGTGCAGTTCTGGTCACCACACCTTAAAAAGGAAATTATAGCTTTGGAAAAAGTGCAGAAAAGGGCAACTCGAATGATAAAACGGTTGGAACACTTTCCCTATGAGGAAAGGTTAAGGCGCTTAAGGCTCTTTAGCTTGGAGAAACGATGACTGAGGTGTGACATGATTGAGGTTTATAAGATTATGCATGGGAAAGAGCAGGTAGAGAAAGAGGTACTTTTCTCCCTTTCTCACAATACAAGAACTCGTGGGCACTCCATGAAATTGCTAAGCGGTCGGGTTAGAACGGATAAAAGGAAGTACTTCTTCACCCAAAGAGTGATTAACACTTGGAATTCACTGCCACAGGAAGTGGTGGCGGCTACAAGCATCGACAGCTTCAAAAGGGAATTAGATAAGCATATGGAGCAGAGGTCCATCAGTGGCTATTAGCCACAAGGTATAGATAGGGACACTGGAGCAAGTGATGCTCTGTCATCTTGGTGCTTGGGGGGGTCAACAGTGGGAGGGCTTCTAATGTCCTGGCCCCACTGGTGGACCTCCTGATGGCACTGGTATTTCTGGCCACTGTGTGATACAGAGTGTTGGACTGGATGGGCCTTTGGCCTGATCCAACATTGGCATCTCTTATGTTCTTATGTTCTTATCAGCAGATTCAGATCTATGCTACTAGTTTTGTAGATTTGTTTGTACATATTGTACAGATTTTATGCACAATTTATATGGTATTTATGCATATATTGATTGATGCACAAATAATGCTGGGAAAATGTACATTATACAGAGGGAAATGGTGCCATGAAAAATATGGCATGAAAAGAAAGAATCATAAGTTTGTTTCACAGGCAGAAATTTTCTGGTTGAACCAGCAGGGATAAGGACTTTGAAATCATCACTACTTCTTATGTACGTTATATTTGATCTCTATATCGCAGCCATCTTTTGTACTCTAACTTAAACATGGCCATAAATGTGTATAGGACACTATTAAATGGTATACTGAACTTCATAACCAAGCAACCCTTCAACATAAAACAGTCAGCCACACAACTTACCAGCCTGAGTAGGCATACATTCCTGAATAAAAAGCAAGAGGTAATCCCTTGACACTGGCTGCATTTCCCACAAATGCATCTTTAAAGTGCTGTGTTTCACCTGAAAAACAGATTTTAAAAAATCTTACAAAATGTTAAGCAAAAAACATGAAAGAGACCAACATAAATTCTTTTATAAAAAGTGCACTAATTCAGGGTAATTACTCAATATGTTGGCAAGGATGCCCAAGAGATGGCTGCACACACAGAATAATGGGCTGTGTGCCCATATTTGCCAACTGTTTGGAATATTTACCTTCCAGCCCTAATTTCCTATGAAGACAGATTTACAAGTGATTCTGCTAATTTTAAGAAAAGCTACCAGAGAAACGTATTGACAAAATAATTTCTTCCCTGTGGGCATTCATATCTTTAAAAAAGGCATGTTTTGTTACTTTCCACTTCACAAATATATATTCACAAATATATATTCAGCTTCATTATATTATATAAAAGGAAATTGTCAGAAAATTTGTTGTGGGGATTATTCAGCCACTACAAATACATTCCAAACTGTTTTAGCAATGTTACTTAAGTCATGTTACTTTGCCTTTTCTGCCATTAACTTAACTTACTGGAAGGATACGTGGCAGGAGGAGGGGCTGGGCAAAGATGGCCCCATCCATGTTTGTCAAGGAACTTTAAGACTGCCAAATTTCTTATCATTCCAACTACCAGGAGCCATATTCTCAGATGTTTTGGTAAGTGTTTAGTTATTGTTGATAAAGTCAATTTAGTTCAGTTCAGACATAAGACAAAATGGCTGGTGTGACCATCTGAATGCAGGCCATTGCACAAATGATGAATAGTTGGGAACTGTCAGATCAGAATCTGAAACAATAGTCTGTCTTTGGTCTGAACTATGGTTTCACATGACAAACAAAAGCAGACTTCCTAATTGACTGGTGCCTGCACATGGAGCAGGGAGCGGCATTTGCCTGCCCACCACCAACTTCTTGGATGAAGCACAGGTGGGGCGAGCCAATCATGGCTCAGTGTGGGAGCGCTGGCCAACCAAGGGCGAGCTCACTGGCCAGGTCTGGCAGCAGCCGCCCTCCATGCTCAGATCGGCCCAGTGCAAGCTTGAGGTAGGACGGAGCTGCGCACCAGTGTGAGGACCAGCCACGTGGGGTTCTATTGGTGGCAGCGGAACTCCCAAGCAGGACCTGAGGACCAAAGCAAGCATCATTACAGAGGAGGACAAGGTTGGAGGGACCCAGGGGAATGGAGCAACGGTGGATTTACTCCAATGGGGGGGGAAGGTCAGTTGTACCACCAGGCCGGCTTCCCCTGCATCGCGGCTCCGCTTAACGGGTGCATCCCTTGGTGTATCCTCATCCCAGGGCAGCTTCCTCAGGGGCTTCGGGCTGTCACATGTGGCCCACAGGCCTTGCCTGTGTCCTTCTGGCTGCTGGCACCCCTGCCCTGCTGGCCAGGGAGGCTGCTGGGCAGGTGGGGTGGCTGGGGGGCCTTCAGCATTGGGTCCGCATTCCAGGGCCCACTCATTGCATGGGTGCACAGGCTGCAGCCGTCGCATTTCTTTCCAGCTGCCTGCACCCCTGCCCCACTGGTCTGGGAGGCTGCCGGGCAGGTGAGATCACCGGGGCATCGCACAGCAAGCCAGGGCACTCTTCCATGTGCCGCCAGCAGAGCATGTGCTGTTGGGTGCTGACGCCTGTTCCCCCCAGATCCTGGTGAGAAGCTTGCCTGTGCGGGACTGCATGGCAGCGGCGCTGGCTTGCTCCCCTCCCCATCAATCTACGCACTGGTGTTCATCCCCTTCAGCCTCATGCAAGGCTTGCCCAGGGTAGGCTGCTGGGCAGCACCGGACCAATCAGGAGTGGCTGTGCCTGCTCGCTTGTCTCCCCATACATTCAGGCACCGGCACCCATTTCCCCTTGCGCGAGGCTTGCCTAGGGTAGGCTGCTGGGCAGTCGTGGAGCAGGCGGCGGTGGAAGCGCCTGTTTGCTCTCTGCCCCAGCCATCCGGACACTCGTCTGTGGGTGCCTGGCCGCCTGCTCCATCCCATTTAGGCATTTTGTGCGCCCCCACCCCTCCCATGGCCCGCCTGCTCGGGGCTTGCTGGCCATTGCTTCTGTGGGAAAGGGGCCCTCCATGGGAGTATTCAGCAGGCCTCCGCCAGGGCGAAGAGGGGGCCAAGGGGTGAAAGGTCAGCAGCTTAGCACATCCTCTCTAACAAAGGGATCTCAGCCAGGGACCTAGGGAACTGTTGCTGGTCTGAGGGGAGTATGCTGCCTGATGGACCAAGTTTCTGATTCAGTCTAAGGCAGCTTCAATTTTTCTCTTTGTCTCTCGTTTCTTCCCTGTGTTATCAGTCCTCTAGGGAAGCTGATCCCCAGGAACTTTCCTCAGTAATTTATGGGGCTTTGGCTTATTCAGGATAAGACAGCAGGATGCTGCTCCCTCCACTAACAGCTTCAGGGATCTGTCCAGGAATTAGCCAGCATGGCATGCTTCTCTTCGCCAACTTATGTTAGCTAGGGAGAATGGTTGGGGGGGATTCCTCTCAGGCAGGGTGGGCTGGGCCTTAACATTGCTTGGGGAGGGTGCACTTGGCTTTAACATCTCCCCTTGTCATTTTCTTTCCAAGGGTATAGGATGGCAGCTAAGAAGGCACCACAGAAGAAAGGCGGCCCAGCTGGAAAGGCACCCAGGCAGGTGCTGCCAACTATCTCATCCTCTGAGGACGAGGGTGGTCCCTCCTTGCAAGACCTGACAGCCAAAATTGAGGCCCAAGGTGGCGAAGTGGAAGCCGGGTGGCAAGGGCAAGTCAGGGGCAAGTCAGGGGCAGCCCCCCCCCCATAAGCATCCCCGGTCCATGGCTCGTGCGCAAGAAAGGCAAGCCCTATATGCCAGGTTGGCACAATTACAGGAGTCCAAAGATGAAGAGGATACACAGGCATCGAGCAGCAGAGCTGGAGCAGTACCAGATGACCTGGCAGAGATGGGTGAGTCCTCCAGTACTACAAGAGTGTCCCACTCTGGCCCCCATGTTCACACTCCTCTTTAGGGATGTGGAGGAGAAGGGAAGTGTGAGAGATGACCCCAGAGAGTTAGAGAAGATAAAGCTGATGCAAATTGACAAGACCTTTGACAACTGGCTTTCGGCTTATACCATTTACATGGGGGTGGTATTGCAAACCTACCCATTCCATGGAGCAGCCTTAATAAAGTATCAGGACCTCATCCACAGGGCAGATAAAGAATACTCAGGGGCGGCTTTGGCTGCGATACGATGAGAGGTTCCACTCTCGGGTGGCCTTGGATCCCTCGTTGCCATGGGATCGGGAGCACGAAGAGCTCTGGTCCCAATGCATGGGCCCTGCAGGGGCCATTTCAGGCAGGTATGCAGACATTGGGCACCTGGTGGCACAGTCGCATGTGGGAGCTGGACGGGAGGCTGGTGAGAGGCAGTGGGCTCAACCTTGACTCATCTGCTGGGGTTTCAATGCCACGGGGAACTGTGCAAGGAAGCTGTGCAAGTTTAAACATGCTTGCAGCACATGCGGGGGTATGCACCCTGCATCCTCCTGTGACATGGGCGCCCCTGAGGGACAGGTGCCCAGAGGCCAGAACCATTAGGAGGCACCAGCACTGACAGGAAGTCAGCGGGAGGGGGAAATAAAGGGGGAACCAGGTCAAGACAGGGGGAGGGCTCGGGGGCAGTGCCAGGGGTGCCGGGCCCCAGGCAACCTTTCAATTGTGGTTTGATGGGTTAGGTTTTTTGAGGATCACGAAACTGCGGAGGAAATCGGGCAAAGCCGCAGGTAAAATGCAGCCCCGCAGCCTCGGGTGTGAGATTAACATGTTTGTGTCAGGGCAAACGGGGCTGCGCCGTGAGGCAACTCTAGTGTGAAGTTGCCCCCAGAAATTACATCAGTCCTCTATAGGAAATGTCAAAAAAATATGGTTTTCCACAGAAGTGACATCATATTGTTGGCCCTGCAGAATTTTGTTGTTGTTTACTTTTCTCCTGACTAGCAGCGGAAAAATTGGGTTTACCAGCAACCTGGCAAACCACAGGGGCAGAAAGGGGTCTCAGCTAGAAATGTGTTTTCTCTTTAAACCCATGGAAGCAAAGAACAAAATAATGAAACAAGTGTAAGAACTGTAATAAATATATAGAAATAAAATTTTACATCGCTAATGGCAAGCACTCTTTGTTAAAGAATTTTTTTGACGCTTGCAATGGAAAGTTTGGCTACTAAAGGAGACCTTTTGGCACAGGGGATATTGTGAGATGTTTTATCCTACAGAAAAACTGGAAGTGGAGCACTAATCAGGTTGAAATACAGAGTGACTATAAAATATATTTGTATTGCATCCTGATACCAATTTTGTCAAAAACAGGTGGTGCAAGCAGACTTTCAGGATAATCCAAAGCAGTCCAAAGTTACCAAGTCAAGTATCTGCTAGAGGAGCATAAAACACTGAGAGGAGCTTCGAGACAAAGAGTAAAAACCAATCGAGAGGAGTGTCAGCTTGAGAGAGGAAGATGGAAAACTTCAGATCAAAAGTTTGACTAGTGAATCAGTCAGGGAGCACTGAAGTGGATCAGTCAGGGAAGGGAAAATGGCTGTTAAAAAGACTGCAACTGCTGCAGAAGTATTTCAGTCACAAGCCATCTATGTTCCTGAAACTATTTGTGCTCACTCTTGAGACAAATGCATGTGCTATATAAGACCAGGTTTCAGGTTTCTTTATGTCTGATTTACAGTGAACAGCATATTTCTCTATGGATAGTGCTGTATTTTCATGTCATATAAACTCCATGGCCAAACATACTCTAAGCAACTAAAACCTCAAAATAACAGCAAAATACTAACAGTGCCATCTTAAGCAGAGCTATAACCTTCAAGCCATTCACTCCAATTGATTTATCTCTGCTTCAGTAATACACTGTCAATAGACAGACTGCACTATAGAAATAGTTATCTGGTTGATCTACTATTGTAAAGGGGATTTCTTCCTTTAAAAGAAATTATTCTCCCAATACAATTTATGCTGAGAGGCCCAATTTTCTGGTCCTTAGTTTAAAACTTATGGATCCAGCCCCGATATCCTCTCATCAGCATGCTGTAGTAAATACAAGTTATTCTCAGTATAGTTCCACTTCCAGTCACTTACCTGACAGTATGCAGCTTAAGTTAAACAAGCAGAGACTAATTAAGTGATTTTGCTGGTATAAGCAACATTTGGCAGGGGCAAGGGCGAGAAGGGGGGGAGATAAAAGCACTTAAAACAGCATTTACTTTTCTGTTCATACCTTTAATTAGCTGCATAACTCCAGGGACTATAATTATCAAAATTGCTACGAGCTTGCAAAAGGTGAGGAAAATCTGGATGCGGGCACTCCAGCTGACACTCATGCTATTCAGGACCATTACAAGCGCTGGAGGGAGGAAAAAGAGAGAATGGTTAAAGGAAAGTTTGCATCCTTCCAAAAGCACCATAAACTCTGTCCAGGGAGAGCTTTTCCCCAGTAGAGGTTCTGGGCATTTGTAAAATGGAGAGAGTTGCCCTTCAGCATATTTCCTTCAGCAGCCTTCTTGCAACTCATCTTTTCTATCTTCCCTCCCACTCACTATCCTTTAACGTGTCTTTGCTAAATCTCTCTCTCCCCCCCCCCCCTTGTTCCAACCATAAATCTTTTTGCAGGCTTTCAAGGGAAAACATTAAAGCCCTCCCCCCCCCATCCCTGGCCAAACCGTTCAGTGCTGATAATTGATGGACTGGTATAACTCTGCCTTTGAACTGAAAATTAATTTCACATCCCCTTTCAGTTGTAATCTTTGTTTGATTTAACAGTAGATTTCCATGTCATTTGAAAAATTAAAGACTAGATAAAATAATCATTCAAGACCTCACAATTATGGCCCTATGAAACATTGTCCTTAAGTTTAATGCTCACATTAATTTCCTCCTGCTTGCTCCTCTACTCATGATTTCCTGTAAAAAGAGGTCTCATATATGGAATGAAAATTAGCAGAGGTGGATATCTTACAACCCTCTTACAGGGTTCCACCCCTTTAAGAACTGTAGCAGTACCTGTCTGACATGCTTTTCAGCAGTTGTAAAAAAGAATGCAGAACTGACATCCTCTCCCCAATGGTATGTCTCAAATAGTTTGTTCCTTTGGCAACTTGAAGAGGAGCTGTTGAAAGGGGCATTGCTCCTATCTGGTAATAGCGGCTGTATTTTCTGCTAGGCTTGCTAACCTCTAGGAAGGGCTGAAGAGCCCCAGGAACTACAAATGATCTCCAGATGACAGAGATCAGTTCCCCTGGAGACCAGGGATGCTATGGAGGGTGGCCTCTGTAGCATTATACCCCACTTAGGTCCCACCCCTCCCCAAATATCACTTTCCCCAGGCTCCATCCCCAAAAATCTGGGAATTTCCCAACTTTCTGACCACCCTGCTGTCTGCTGCTACTAAGCAATTCTTCTTTTGTTCAGTTTTTAACCAATGATGCCAGAATGAAAGCATATTTAGCAATATGATGGTACTGTTATGTCCTCAGACCACTGCCAGGCGCCAGCCAGAGGCAGCTAGAGCTTGAGTCCCAAAGACAATAGGGACTAGGCTCTTGAACTTCTAGTAAGGAGCCAATAGGGACCTTGGCGGGGCAACCTAGGGGCATCCCTCCCCAATTGTATAAAGTTAGCCACCCGGCCATTAGTTGTTGTTCCGTGTGTAAAGTACTAATAAACACGTCTTTGCCTATGTCATGGTCCGAGTCCTGATGTATCGAACCCAGTACTTTTCAGGTACCATGTAGCCAAAGAGAGACAAGTGTCAAAAAAGCTAAAGCAGGATGAAGCCAGTGCTTCCTGCTCCCCCACTAGGGTTGTCAACCTCCAAGTGGGGGTTGAAGTTCTGGAATTACAGCTGATCTCTAGACTACCTAAATCACTTTTTATTTATTTGTTTTTAAAAAATTATCCCACTTCTCCTGGAGAAAATGGCTGCTTAGGAAGGTGGACTGCATGGCATTATAGCCTACCAAGGTCCTTCCACTCCCTAAACCCCACTCTCCCAGCCTCTACCCTCAAATCTTCACATTTCCAAACCCGAAGTTGGCAACTCTATCAACCACTGATATCTTTTCGCTAAAAGCAGGTAAAAACAGTGATGGTCAGCAGCATCAGAGTACAGTTTCTGTTTCCTGTACCATGGAAAGAGAAGCAAAGTAGGTGAACTGGGACTTTCATAAAACTCTGCAACTTTCAGTTCAGCCTAGAAAGAAGGTGTAGTAGGGGGTATCTGTATTCTGAACTTATATTGGATTTACAACTTCACAGCTTTGTCCAAAAGCTGGCTGAGGTTAAATCCAATGAAGACAGAGGTCCTGTATCTGAGCCATGGGGGGAGGGATCAGGAATCAGGCTCCCAACCCTTGGTGGGACACCATTGTCACCGGTACTGAGGGTGAAGAGCCTGGGGGTGGTCCTAGATGCCTCGCTTTCAATGGAGGCCCAGGTCACCACGGCTACTAGATCAGCCTTTTACCATTTTTGGCTGGTTATCTCTCCTCTCAAGTGTTAGCTACAGTGATCCATACAATGGTCACTTCTAGGTTGGATTACTGTAACATGCTCTAAATGGGGCTGCCCTTGAACCTGACCAGGAAACTGCAGCTAGTGCAAAATGCGGCTGCCAATTGCCTACCAGATCTAGTTCAAGGTTATGATATTAACCTTCAAAGCCCTTTGCGGCCTGGGACCAACATATCTGTGGGACTACCTGTCCTCCTATGTGCCCCGAAGAGCTTTGTGCTCTGCTGAGCAACATCTGCTGGTAATCTCCATCCCAACCAATGTCTGCTTGGCCTCGACCAGGTCCAGGGCATATTCTGCCCTGGCCCCAGCCTAGTGGAATATGCTCCCACTTGAGATAAGGGCCCTGTGAGATTTAATGGAATTCCGCAGGGCCTGTAAAATTGAGCTGTTCTGCCAGACCTTTGGATGAGGCAGCGAACACCTGAACACTTTGACCTACACTGCCTGGGTGCACTGCCCTTTCTTAAATATTGCTATGGCATCCATTAAACGTGTCCTTGTTTTAGTCATCATATGCCCTGCACTTGTGGGAGGCATTTGTGGAGCCTGGAAATTGACTCAGGCTTCATTTGTACTGCTATCCAAAAATTATATACCTGCCTTTTAACACAGAGATTTGTTTCCAGCACATAAACCACAATGAGAGATACATAAAATGGGCACTTAGAAAAACCCTGAAAGATAAACCTTCACAGACAGCTTATACTAGAGTGTATCTCTATGCTTGGTGTCATTGGTGAACAGGAACTCTGTGCTTGGTTCTTTAATATGAAACATCAGAATTCACAAGTTAGTCTCACTTTTGCTTGATTTACTTTAAATCCACTAATGAGTACATCTTTGATCAGAATACCAATATCAGACACAAACATATGATAACAGGACAGGAGGGAAAGGAAGAAGCAGTGATGCAGTGACTGGATGTGGTCCATTTTGAAAAACCATGCCAACCCTAAACCTTGGAAGGATTTATTCACACATCATTCAACTCTAATGAAGACTGGACTGTTTCATTGTTTATACTGTCTGACTGCTTTCAGACTGCTTTACTGTTTACATTTTCTGTTTTGGGATTTTTCACAGAAGTTATCTTTCATTTACAAACTGACATAAGGACATAAGAGATGCCAATGTTGGATCAGGCCAAAGGCCCATCCAGTCCAACACTCTGTGTCACACAGTGGCCAGAAATACCAGTGCCATCAGGAGGTCCAGCAGTGGGGCCAGGACATTAGAAGCCCTCCCACTGTTGACCCCCCCCCCAAGCACCAAGAAGACAGAGCATCACTTGCCCCAGAGCCCCTAGCTATACCTTGTGGCTAATAGCCACTGATGGACCTCTGCTCCATATGCTTATCTAATTCCCTTTTGAAGCCGTCCATGCTTGTAGCACCCACCACTTCCTGTGGCAGTGAATTCCATGTGTTAATCACTCTTTGGGTGAAGAAGTACTTCCTTTTATCCGTTCTAACCCGACCGCTCTGCAGTTTCATGGAGTGCCCACGAGTTCTTGTATTGTGAGAAAGGGAGAAAAGTACCTCTTTCTTTACCTGCTCTTTCCCATGCATAATCTTATAAACCTCGATCATGTCACCCCTCAGTCGTCTTTTCTCCAAGCTAAAGAGCCCTAAGCGCTTTAACCTTTCCTCATAGGGAAAGTGTTCCAACCCTTTTATCATTCGAGTTGCCCTTTTCTGCACTTTTTCCAAAGCTATAATATCCTTTTTAAGGTGTGGTGCCCAGAACTGCACACAGTATTCCAAATGAGGTCTCACCATTGATTTATATAGGGGCATTATTATATTGGCTGATCTGTTTTCAATACCCTTCCTAATAATCCCCAGCATAGCATTGGCCTTCTTTATTGCAGTCACACACTGTCTCGACATTTTCAGTGAGTTATCCACTACAACTCCAAGATCTCTCTCTTGCTCAGTCTCTGCCAGTTCAGACCCCATCAATGTGTATTTATATTTAGGATTTTTGGCTCCAATGTGCATCACCTTGCACTTGGCCACATTGAACCCCATTTGCCATGTTGACGCCCACTTGCCCATCTTTGACAGATCCCTTTGGAGTGCCTCACAATCCTCACTGGTTTTCACCACCTTGAACAACTTTGTATCATCCGCAAATTTAGCCACTTCACTGCTTACTCCCATCTCCAAATCATTAATGAACAAGTTAAAAAGCAGTGGACCAAGTACTGATCCCTGTGGTACCCCACTGCTTACCACCCTCCACTGAGAAAATTGCCCACCTACACTCACTCTCTGTTTTCTATGAACTAGCCAGTTTTTGATCCATAAAAGGACTTGTCCTTCTATCCCATGATTTTTGAGCTTACTTATGAGCCTTTGATGAGGAACTTTATCAAAAGCTTTCTGGAAGTCAAGGTAAATAATATCTATTGGATCCCCCTTGTCCACATGTTTGTTCACCCCCTCAAAGAACACTAATAGGTTAGTGAGACAAGATCTTCCCTTACAGAACCCATGTTGAGTCTGCCTCAATAGGTTTTGTTCATCTATGTGCCTACTAATTCTTTCCTTAATAATGGTTTCCACCAATTTACCCGGTATCGACGTCAGACTGACTGGCCTGTAATTTCCCGGATCTCCTCTGGAACCCTTTTTAAAGATGGGAGTGACATTAGCTACCTTCCAATCCTCAGGAATGGAGGCAGATTTTAAGGAAAGATTACATATTTTTGTCAGGAGATCCACAACTTCACATTTGAGTTCTTTCAGAACTCTTGGATGTATGCCATCTGGGCCTGGTGATTTATCGGTTTTTGAGTTGTCTATCAGTTTTAGGACCTCCTCTCTCGTC